GAAACTGGTAGAAAGATGAGGTCCGCACTCGATCCTACATGAATGCTATTATGCAAAACAAGCACCTGTTCAAGGACAAGGTTGTTCTTGATGTCGGCTGTGGCACCGCCATTCTCTCCATGTATGTTTGACCGGCCTCACCCTGCGACCAGAGCCGCCGCCCCGTGTCTCCTCCCACCTGTCACTTTGTACCACAATGACCGCACGCATCTTTGTCTTCCAATATCCCGCAGTGAGACTCACGCTGCGCCAGGTTCGCTGCCAAGGCCGGCGCCAAGCACGTCATTGGCGTCGACATGTCGTCCATCATCTTCAAGGCCCGCGAGATTGTCAAGGTCAACGGTCTCTCTGACAAGATCACCCTGATCCAGGGCAAGATGGAGGAGATTGAGATGCCTTACCCCAAGGTCGACATCATCATCTCTGAGTGGATGGGCTATTTCTTGTTGTACGAGAGCATGTTGGACACTGTCCTGTATGCTCGCGACACCTATCTCGAAAAGGACGGCCTCATCTTTCCCGACAAGGCCACCATTTTCTTTGCCGGCATCGAAGACGGCGACTACAAGGAGGAAAAAATTGGGTGTAAGCTTGAATATTCTTTCCCCTGTCCCCTCGCTCACCGGCAGGCACTGACCAACACCACCTAGTCTGGGACAATGTCTACGGCTTCGACTACACCCCTCTCAAGGAAACCGCCCTCTCCGAGCCCCTCGTCGACACCGTCGAGCTCAAGACTGTGGTCACCGACCCCACGCCCGTCCTCACCCTTGACCTCTACACCTGCACCGTGGCCGACCTCGCCTTTGCCACGCCCTTCAAGCTCGCCATCAAGCGCGACGACTTCGTCCACGCCCTCGTGTCGTGGTTCGACATCGACTTCACCGCCTGCCACAAGCCCATCCGCTTCTCTACCGGCCCCCACACCAAATACACTCACTGGAAACAGACAGTCTTTTATTTCAAGGACGTGCTGACGGTCCAGGACGGCGAGGAGATTTCGTGCAATCTGCAGGTCAAGCCCAACGCCAAGAACCGCCGTGATCTGGACATTGATATCCAGTATGAGTTCCAGCCGGAGGACTCTACCCGAGCATCTTCTGGGCAATGCTCGTTCCACATGTGCTAAGCATATACGACTCAAATGAACGTGGTGGAGGAAGAAAATCTCACGGGTACAATTAGCATGGGAGAGAGGGGGGAAAAATTGATATGGGATCATCAATAGTTGCATAGCTGAGAGTCATACTGCTCGGAAATTTCAATACATGAGACGGGGACCCAAAGAAAGGGACGCGAGAACATGTAGACGGGAAGAGGACGATGGGAGCTGGACGGCGTAATTTCTGTTTTCTATTTTATTAGGCTTGGCTCGCCGGGTTTAGTCGGCTTAGATAGACGTGGCAATGATGTGCATTTGGCATCGGAATTCCATCTTCGGCTCGTAAAGAGGAACAAGAAAGATAAAATCTCCACAATAACTGCATCTCGAAGTAGCCGAATTTTGCACTAAAAGCAATTGCGTCTGTCGATTTGAAATATGCTACGGCTACTTGGCCAATATTGCTTCTCTCATCAGATAGGCTGTCCCGCTGTGTGCACCGAACACCTTTTTTTCCCCCTTAGGGAACCCTTTCCCTCCCCTCGTCATGTCATAATCATGTCATTCGTCGCCGTTGTCGTCCCTAGACGCTCTACGATCCAAATTGCCTGACAATCTGCGCGACCTTGTTTGCAAGCTCGTCTGCCTCGGAACGAGTCGCCGCCTCCGCGTACACTCGGCAGGCATTTTCAGTGCCACTGGCACGAGCAAACGAACGCGCTGATGTGTACTTTTGAACAACCTGGTCAATCTCATCCTGAGCACCAGGTGGGTGGCTGAGGCGTCGCTCGGCATCCGTCGCCTGGAAGAGATCCTTGTTGCCAACCTCGACGCGAACCAGACGGTTGGGCAGGTCGGTGTAGGTCATGGCCCAGTCCTTGAGGGTCCAGCCCTTGTGAGCCAGGACGACTTCCACCATGAGCATGTCGGAGATGGCGTCTCCGACGGTCTGGTTGACCAGGTCCCCGACGGCGGCAAGGGTGTCGAGCGTGTCCTTTTGAGCGGGGGACTGGGGTTCTTTTTCCTTGAAGGTGCGCATGGCCTCCTGGGAAAAGACGACGGTTCCGTGGCCGTTGGCCTCGAAATAGACGCCCACGTCAAATTGGCATGCCGCGTGGTGCAGATGCTTGACGCCGGTGGGGGTGAAGACGACGGGCAGCTGCAAGTGCTTCTCAATGTAGTTGGTGCTGGCGCCGTTGGCGTAGGCAGTTTGCACGACTCCGATGCGTAACTCATCCTCGAGGCCGGCGGAGCGAATGAGGTCACCGATGAAGGAGGCGCAGAGGGAAGAGATGCGGTCACCGTCCAACATGAAGAAGCCGGTGTCTGGGTCGATCCAGTAGTAAATCAGACGGTCGGCGTCGCCGTCAAAGGAGCAACAACGAGCTCCGAGCACGGGCTTGGGGTTTTGGGGGGCCCTCTGCTTTGTCTTGACAAAGTCGGCGCCACACTGCAAAGTGATTAGCAGGGCTAGTCGCAATCGGTAACATGGCAGAGCCGGCTTGCAGCAACTCAAGAATTGATACATACGTCAAGGTTGAGAACCTCGGGCCGCAGGACATCATCGTTGACCACCTTGACGTCGAAGCCGGTCTTGTCCTTGGGGATGAACTTGAGCATCTCGGAGAGCTTGGGGCCGCCAACACCGTTGGCACAGTCCACGGTCAGCCGGCCCTGGACTTTCTTCCCCCGCAAGGCACGGACAAAGGCATCGGAGAATTTCTTGTAGTAGCCAGCCTCGCTAGTTTCGCCATAGGCCTTAGGGGTGCCTTCGGTGTTGACACAGCGGGTCAGGTAGTGCAGCTGGGGAGTCGTCAGAATCTTGTAGTCGGTATATTCGGTGCCTGTAGCTTCCAGGGCGGCGGCCAAGGCAGAGACTAGGCCGTGGCCAGAAGGTCGAGTATCTCTCCCGTAGACAACGCGGCCGGGGGTGTTGAGGTCGATCCTGAGCTGGGCAGCGAGGGCCTTGTAGGCGTCAAGAAGCTCCCTGTCGGAAGAGCAGTTGACCAGGCGGGTAGCGTAGGCCTCCCACTCCTGCTCAAGCATCTCTCCCATGGGGTCGACAATCTTGACACCGTTGTCGGCAGCAGGGTTGTGACTGGCGGTGATCATGACGCCAATGGCTTGGCCATTGAGCTTGCGGCTGCGCAGGCCGGCGAGCAGACCAACACGGAACGAAACGCCCGTCAACAAATCAGCCTTCATCCGAAATCCGGCCGTGCCATACTTGTAGGTGTGGCCGGCAATGATGGGGTGCTTTGCCGACGCTTCGAGGATTTTATCGTCCATGACTGCTGCGTATCTGCGGCGTGTTAGTTGGAGCTCATAACAAGAGAGAGTGTTGTGGTTTGCGGTATGCCTGGCCAAGGGGAGCTGTTGCCGTTTTTGTCCTCTGACGAAGGTCTGCGAGATGGAGCTTTTGTAGCAGGCATTGCAGCTGGACGATCAATTGTTGGGGACAGACGTACCTCGGGAGAAGAAAGGGGGGTGGCCTTGTCCTAGGAGCAGCCTGGGAAGCTGAAGAGGACGATGGAAGAGTAGCGATTCAGGATGCAAGCGTCTTTTAAGACAGGTGGGGTGGCTTGCTTGCTCTTTCTTCTTCTGTCTGGTGGTGGGGTAGTCCCATACTCCGTACTGCGTTCAGTCAACATGTCAACAAGCCCGGTTCGTATAATTTGAGATCTGACGAGGTCCATGTTATCTGCCAGCGCCAGCTCCGCCCACAAGTGAGACGCCGTCTTTTTTCATTACTAAAACGACAGTACGGGGGCTCAAGCCCAAGACCGACACAATCCCAGCACGATGGAAACAAGAGGTGGCCAGCTCGATAAGCTCAACAACGTCGGACATGGAGGGATGGAGGGCGGTTACAGTCTGGAGCAGAAGATGTTTGTGTTTTCATGCCAAGAAGTATACACTAATATACTGTAGCATATTATAGTATACAGCGCGATAGCCAGGTACTGGACCTGGCCAAATACCTCTTGCCTCCCACTGCACTTAGTAGTGATCCTCGATCTGGACTTGAGCTTGCAATACCCAAACAGGCAAGGCTTTACGAAGCACCAGAGGCAGCCCAGCGTAACATTATGGGAGCGAGCGAACCCACAACCCACAACCCACAGCCCACAGCTCTCACATCGTGTCGTCTTGCGACTTTCCCATGACCTCGTTCCCAGTTCCACCTACCGCGAAGCATAGACAACAAGGACACTTGTAACTGGTCACTGGCAAACCAGACTCCATGGCACTCCAGGGCACTCCAGGGCACAGGGATCATAGGCGACCGACCCCGCCGAACACAAGGTGGAGAAGGTAGCATCAGCGAGCAAGCTGGTCTGCACAGAATCCAAATGTGAGCAGATTGTGCTCCGTAATACAATACGGACGACGGAGTAAAGGCTGGTGATGGTAAGTGGACCCTTGGCCAGATGCTGCGCGGCAATTTGAACATTCGAAGTCGTCCTGGTGACCTGCCCGTTCTGTTCGACTGAGCCGCGCCAATGGCCGTGGGGTCGCACATGGAAGCTTGCATGATGCGGTGTCGTCATAATAGTGGACGTGTCAACGCGTGGCCAGCTACCTCACAAGTGTGGACGCCTCCTCAGGGCACATCTTGACCCATCAGGCCACGTGCTTTCGTGTCCCCTAGTGCTTCCTCCCGCCAAGACCAGCCGGAAGCCTCGTCTGGTGTACAAGCCGACGCGACGGGGAGCTCTGAGACGCGACTGTTTTCTCAACTTTTTGGTGGTCTCAAGCTGGCTTGTACAACCTCTTTTGGTTCCTTTTGCCTTTTCTTCTTTTCCTTTTATTTTTTTGGAAGCTAAAATCACCTTTGACGCCCTTTCCCGCGTCCATGGCTTGATATTAAATCTCGCCAACCAGCCGCCTCGACGTAATGGAAGAATGCCCCAATCCGCAGCTCCTCGCCTGGGTCAAGGAGTGGCTGGACACAGCACGAGAACGCAACTCGAAAGGCTTCACCACCTATCGAAATGCTTATGAATCTCTCAAAGCATGCCCTCTGGTTCTCCAGCACCCTGCCGAGCTGCAGCAGTTGAAGGGCTTTGGCCCAAAGCTGTGTGAAAGACTGACCGACAAGCTCCAGAAACACTGCCAGGAGAACCAGCTGCCCATGCCAGAGCATCCTCAAGTAAGGAAGGCTGCAGAGAGGGCCCGACGAGACGAGCAAGCTGCTGCTGCCGAGGAGGGCTCCGCCCCAAAGAAGCGCAAGACGCGACAACCCAAGGCCTACGTTCCGGCTTTTCGTTCTGGTGCCTATGCACTCTTGATTGGCCTGTCGACACAACCTGATGACACCACCTCGGGTATGACGAAAGCAGACCTGATTCATGTCTCACAGCCCCATTGCGATTCTTCCCTCACCGCACCAAGCGACCCGACCAAGTTTTACACGGCATGGAACTCGATGAAGACATTGGTCCAAAAGGAACTCGTCTATGAGAGGGGGAGACCTTTACGGCGCTATGCATTGACCGACGAGGGATGGGAAGTCGCTAACAGGATAAAAGAAACCCGCGAATGGAAGGCAGATAACGGCAACACGGCTTTGCATCATGCCACCTCTGTGCGCCCTGTCCGCTCGCCGTCTGCCGAGATCGAGGTTGTTGCTGAGCAAGACAGTGCAGCCAAGGAGAATGCCATGGACGGCTCGTTGCCCGCTTTCGACCCCATCAGACTGCCCCCTGGTTCGTTTTCTGTTCGTTTAGTTTTGGACGTGCGTGAAGTCCGGGCCAAAACCGATCGTGATTATATGCAAGAGGAGCTGGCCAAACTAGACGCCACACCGTTGATGAGAAGTCTGGAAGTGGGCGACGCGCAGTGGGTTGCCAAGTGTCATGATCCCACACTGCTCCAGAGACTCGGCGCTGAGGGGGACGAGGTGGTGCTGGACTGGATTGTGGAACGAAAGCGCCTTGACGACTTGATTGGGAGCATCAAAGACGGACGATTTCACGAACAAAAGTTTCGTCTCAGGCGCTGTGGCGTTCAAAATGTCATTTACATCATTGAAGACATCACCATCGACCCGCAGATTCTCCAAAGGTACGAGGAAGCTGTGCAGTCTGCCATTGCCTCGACGCAAGTCGTCAATGGGTATTTTGTGAAGCGAACTTCCAAAATGGACGAGACTGTCAGGTACTTGTCGCGTTTAACCGCCATGCTGAAGCGCAGGTACGAGAAGCAGACGTTGCATGTTATTCCTTCTAGGGTGATTACCGCGCAGAATTACGCGCCCATGATGCAGCATTTGCGAGAGACTCAGCCGTCTGTGGGCCATTACATAACGTATCAGACGTTCTCCTCGTTTGCATCCAAATCCGAAATGATGACGCTGCGAGATGTATTTTTAAAAATGTTGATGACAACCAGGGGAGTGACGGGAGAGCGAGCCCTGGAGATTCAGAAGCGCTGGCGCACACCCCATGATTTCGTCAAGGCCTTTGAAGCTTGCGGGCCCGGAGAGACAGGCAAGAAACGCAAGCGAGAGCTCGTGTCGAGCCAACTTGGCCACTTGGTTGGGAGGAAGAAAATCAGCAAGGCGTTGAGCCAAAAGATATCTGAAATTTGGGGTGATGCCTAGTAGCGCTGGCCGGCTGGCATATTGTCTCTTTTCTTTTTCTTTTTTCTTTCTTGAGATGAGACATGCGACATGATACCCTTAGATGAGTGGTACAATCAACCCCTTAATCTTTGACACGCCGCCTGCCTACTGCTTGCCAATGATTCGCTGTACCATCTTCTCGAGCAACGGAATCGGCGCATCGCCGCTGTTTGCCCCCAGAACTCCAGCCAACGACTTTTCGGCATACTTGGCCATCATATCAACCTCTATATTGACCGTGTCGCCCTTCTTTTTCTGCGCCAAAACCACACGCTCCTGCGAGTACGAAATCAGCATGATTTCCCACCACCCGTCAGCATCATTCACATTCGTAACAGTCAAACTCGTCCCGTCAATGGCAATGAAACCCTTGAAGATGATATAGCGCAGCATGTCACGGTTCTTGGGCTGAAATCTAAAAGTCAATGCATTGCCATCCGGTGTCACGGACAAAATCTCGGCCGTGGTGTCGACGTGGCCTTGGACAAAATGGCCGCCCATCCGGGTGTCGGCTCGTACGGCTCGCTCCAGGTTTACGCGGCTGTTTTCAACAAGAGTGCCGAGGTTGGTGATGCGTAGAGTTTCGGGGGCCACGCCAACTTTGAAGCTGTCGGCTGTAAAGGATGTGACGGTGAGGCAGCACCCGTTGACAGCGATGGAGTCCCCTTCGTGGCAGTCTTTGAGGAGTGGTGAGTTTGCGGGGATGGTGAATGTCATGGTGGTGCCGCCGGTGGAGTCATTTTCGTCGAGGTGGGAGACGACTGAGATGTGCTATGTTAGTGATGATTGGGATTGAGGTTGAGCTGGAAAGGATGTACCTCCGATGTCTTCGACGATGCCGGTGAACATGTCGGGCTGCTGTGAGTGAGCGGTTAATGAGTGGTGTGACAAGGCAGATGATAGTCTGGCGACTTGTAGACACTTTTGAATCCTCTAACTGGAACGTTGTCTCTGGTAGACAATGTGGTGCTAAAAGGAGAATGTTCTATGAAACGCGACTCAAATATCAAGGCTCGTCGTGAGGGTGACTCTATTCCCTTTTCTGCGGTGCCGTGCTTCTCAACGGGTCGAGCAGTTCCTCTGCCCCGCCATGACATTGCTATCGATAAGACCTGCCCGCCCAAAATTTTCATGCGACCACTGGAGCTATCAGGTGCCGCCGCCGAGTGGGCAGCAAGCATACCGACCTTCAATATCATTCCATCGCATCGTCACCTTCTTATTTTATTTTTTTCCCGCCTCTTCTCACTTAACTGCTGATAGAAGAGCGAAGCTTATATAATGGCACCCAGTCGGTCAGGACTCAAAAAGGAGTCTAACCCAGGCTCTCTACTCAGCGATGCAGACACCCAGTTTGAGGTAGGCAACCTCGACGAAGCGATTACGCTTGCCTCCAAAGCCTTGGAATCAACCGGCGCCGGGGGCGACTTCGAGCTCCGCGCGCTCAATTTACTCGGCACGCTGCTAGTGGAATCAGGCGAGGTTGACGAAGGACGCAGCTACTTTGAGCGAGCAGTCAAGCTGGACGAGGATGGCATGGCGGACGAAAAGGTTGGCGGCGGGCCGGAAAAGTTCCTCTTCCTCGCGCAGCTGAGCGAAGACGGCGGCCAGGACAGCGTCAAGTGGTTCGAGAAGGGCGCTTCGACCCTGCGCAGTCAGATCCAGAACCTGGCGGGCTTGGCGAGCAGGACCCCCGAGCAGCAGGCCAGCCTGGACGAGAAGCAACAAAAGCTGGGCGGAGTTCTGTGCGCCGTGGCCGAGGTGTACATGACGGATCTCTCTTGGGAGGAGGACGCCGAGCAGCGCTGCGAGGCGCTTGTTACCGAAGCCATGATGATTGCGCCCGATTCCCCCGAGACGTGGCAGACCGTTGCCAACGTGCGCATTTCGCAGGAGCGCGTGGACGAGGCGAGGCAGTCGCTGAAACGGAGTCTGGAGCTGTGGCAGGACTTGCCCCCGGCCCATCCTAGCATCCCCGCGTTCCCCACGAGAATTGGTCTTGCGCGGTTGTTGTTGGAGACGGAAATGGAGGAAGATGCGCTCAAGGTGCTGGAGCGACTGGTGACGGATGACGACCAGAGTGTGGAGGCGTGGTACCTGGGCGGGTGGTGCCTGTACATTGCAGGCGAGAAGCAGAGGGATGGCCAAGGTCAGCAGAATGGAGACGCAAACAGCGAGTGGAGATCGACGTGGTCGACGGCAAGGAAGTGGCTGGGGCAGTGTCTAAAGCTGTATGCCATGTTGGACTATGAGGATGAGAGACTGGGCGAGCATGCCGTCGAGTTGTTCCAGGAGATTAACAAGGAGTTGGGTGAGATGCCGGAGGGTGAGGAAGATAACTGGGAGGCGTCAGGGGACGAAGATGAGGGTGAAGGGGATGACGACGACGAGGAAATGGAGGGTTGAATTCGTGCGAGATGCGACTACGGTCGACTGATTTGGAGGGAAATGGGCATTAGACGGCGTTTGGGTAGTTGCTGCGCGACTTAAAAAGCGAAGGAATAACTGTTGACCTTTGCGAGCGTCAATCACGAATCACTTTTCTTTTTTTTTTTCAAGAAAGAAAAAAAAAGAGAACGAAGAAATAGAAAAAGAAACAGGTCAAAATTTCAAGGATATACCCAGCCCATTCTCACGTCTCTCGTGCTAGGCTTTATTTTACATCCATGGCTTCCCAAACAATGTCATTCCAAAACTCCAAACAATGCATGACGTCTCCCACATGTGAAATAGCAATCATCAAGCCTCCACCGCCAGCCTTTCCACACCATCCGTCGGTACATCTTCCTCATCGCCCTCCTCATCATCTCCATTCCCAGCCAAGCCTCTCTGCCACAATTGTTTCCCTGTCAACTTGATAGGTTCCTTAACCTTGGCCCTTTTCAACTCGGCCAGTCTCTCTTCTTCCTCCAGCCTTTCCTTCTCCTCCATCTCCTTGAGGAATCCCTCGCGCCACTTGAGGAACGTCTCGGGCGTGACCTGTGTGCCGTGGAATTTCTTGTTTTCTTCCCGCTCTGCTGCTAGGAGGGCTTCCTCGTGGACTCTGGCGGCCGAGTCCTTGCGATCTTGAATGAGTTGTTCAGCGGCTTCTTTCAGGGCAGAGACAATTGTGAATACCATGGCCATGCCGAGATTTTCTTGGATGGTTTCCTGGATAGTCTCGAGGAGTTGTTGTCGGTCGTCGCTGATGCTAAAGTGTTGGTGGGATGGAGAATTCTGGGCAGCCAGCAGGTCGAGGTGGGGGGCGACGTCTGGGTATTCATCTGGGTAGCGGACCTGGAGGATAAACGAGGGCGCTTCTTGGTCTTCCTCGTCGAGGATGTCGAGCGTGATGGACACTTGGAACTCGGTTTCGGAGAGGTCTAATCATTTGTTAGTTGGTAGGCGACAGTCCAGTGGACAGCGTAGTGTACCTGTGATTTCTTCTGGGAAAATAGACTCGAGCACTTCGCGCTCTTCAACTTGATCTTCACGACCCATGGCGATGGATTGGCAGCGAATTGCAATGCCCAAGTGCAGTTGGGGTTGAATTGCCTGTCCAAGATGCGATGCTTCAATTCCAGACAGCTTTTTGGATGCGCGGGCGGGGCAAGCCACTCCCCGTAGCGGGGTTGGCTTTTTGCATTTGGTTCCCTTTCAGGCTTAACGCAGCGCTGACCGCTCGGCAGATTCTCAAAAAAAAAAAAAAATCTGGAAACTTGGTGGACTAGTAATACAAGATGATCACCGAAGGCTGCTGGCTTTTTTTTTAAGAGAGTACGCTACACTGCCACCCAACTGTGCTGCTCTCCGTCAAGATGGCTGCCAAACCTGTTGCCGCGGGGAAAAAGAGAAAGGCCACGCCCAGTGGTAAGGGCAGGTCTGATTCCAAAAAGGCTCGTTTCGAAGAATCCAAGGCTGCCAAGACAGCGTCGGCATCGAGCGACGACTTGTCGGATTCAGACTCTGAGGGTGGCGGCGTCAAGCTGAATGCTGGAGATAAGAAGAAGTCGTCCAACAAGACACATTCCGGTGACAATGGCGACACATTTGATCGCAGTGAGTCCAACAAGGAGAAATAGACGCCGAAGTTGAATTGTGCCACCGTTTTGCTAACAGCGGTGACAGCCGGCCTCACGTCACGCGAATCCCACGCAAAACAAAAGCAATTGGCGCAAGAACGAAAAGCTGCAAAGCCCCTCGCCGACGAGGTGCAGCGCACCAAGAAGATTTGGGAGCGGTTGAGGAGAAAATCCCACGTGCCCAAAGAGGAGCGGCAAAAGTTGGTGGAGGAGCTGTTTGGCATCATTACCGGCCGATGCCGAGATTTCGTTCTCAAACACGACGCCGTTCGGGCCGTACAGACGGCCATAAAGTACGCTACACCGGATCAAAGGAGGCAGATTGCACGAGAGCTTGAGGGGAGCTACGCGCAGCTTGCCGAGAGCAAGTATGCCAAGTTCTTGATTGCCAAGTTGCTCGTTCACAACGACGATGAAATCCGAGATTTGGTTATACCCAACTTTTACGGCAAGGTCCGCAAGCTCATCCACCACCCCGAGGCCTCGTGGATTCTGGACGACATTTACCGGACCGTCGCCACAAAGGAGCACAGAGCCACCTTGCTGCGGGAATGGTACGGCCCCGAATTCAGCATCAAGGAGTTGACCAAGGACACCAAGCTTACCGCGGATTTGAAGGAGATTTTTGCGGCGGAACCCAGCAAACGGGGACCCATCAGAAAGACCTTGTTGGACATGGTGAACTCTCTGGTCCAGAAGCGCATGACGGGTTTCACGATGCTGCACGACGCCATGTTGCAGTACTTTCTCACCACACAGCCGGGAACCGAGGAGTTTAATGAGTTTATCGAAATGGTGAAAGGAGATGAGACTGGCGACTTGCTCAAAAACATGGCCTTTACCAAGTCTGGTGCGCGATTGTCATGTTTGTTGTTGGCGTACGGGTCTGCCAAGGACAGGAAACAGTACCTCAAGGTG